TATAGTTGGTAGTGCATACTACGTAGCTCCTGAAATATTGAGGCGTAGTTATGGAAAGGAAGCGGATGTATGGAGTGCAGGTGTTATTTTGTATATTCTACTTAGTGGTGTACCTCCATTTTGGGATGGTAAGGACAGAGATAAAAAAGCATAATAAGATGCTGTACTTGGTGTTATTTTCTGCACTTCTCTTTTAACATGTCTTGCCAAATCTTTTCAGAAACTGAAAAAGGAATATTCCATGCTATACTAAAAGGAGAAATTGACTTCCAGAGTGATCCATGGCCATCCATATCAAATAGTGCGAAGGACCTTGTTCGAAAAATGCTAACACAGGATGCAAAAAACAGAATCACATCAGCAGAAGTTCTCGGTATCTCTCTCTTTCATTTTGTATAATCAAAAGTTATAACATGATCTTCTCATTTTATATAGTACTTGATCAATGTGGTTTTATATTGTCACGGAGAGAATCATGGGTATTTTGGTCCATAGTGTGACTATATATAATATATTTCCAGAGCACTATTAAGGGGATTAAGTATGAGACAGACCCTGTACTTGGTATATGCAATAAAAGATAAGCTGGAGTTGTGTTTAGCTTTTCCGTAAGAGTTCATGTTTGGCACTTATTAGACAATACTTCATGTTTTCTTCACAAAACATAGGATAACAATCTACTAGTCACTCTGTTTCAATTTATGCTTCTTAATTTCCTCTTTAGTCTTTTTAGAAAAGAATGCCATTTTTTTGTATTTAGTAACTCTTTAATTCCAATATGTCACATGGCATGTTTAAGACCACCTGATTCGAAGGGCATTTTAGTACATTAATCTTTACTTTAAGACCACAAGATGCAAACTAGTTTCATACTGATTTCTTTTGACGGAAGCTGCTACGAAGAGTGAGTTGTTTTAACATTTATGTGACCAATATGATGATGACAAGAAAGAACAAGAGGTTGTTTCGTTACCTGTAGGAGGTGATAGCTTTGTTGTTTCTCATATGAATAAAAGTGAAAGACGAATTTAGAGGTAAAATTTTAACTCTATTTATCATGTCCAAAGAAAAGCTCGTTGTTTGGTCTTTCGTTGGCTGTATCTAATATAAAGGCCATATTTGATCCATTCCACTATTGGATTTTCAGTTACTTTAAGAACTTTATGCTTATGTTGCATCTCTAGTAGCCAAATACTTGTCTCTTCAGATTCTTTTTTGGTTAATCAAAGTTTTAAAATGTGGATAAAAGTGCATCGAGGTGTTCTTACACTTTATCATATGTTATGATGCATTAGTGAGTATATCTTGCCTTTTCAGTGTCTTCCTATTGCTTTCCACTTTGACTTGCTTATCAGGTTTCTTAGTCTTCTTGATATATGATTTTTTCACTTGATTGGATCTTGTTTAGTATGCTGGAACTAAACTATATGTCATTAATATACTTTGCGCTTGCTTCTACAGAACATCCATGGCTTCGAAGTGGAGAAGCATCAGACAAGCCTATAGACAGTGCAGTCCTCTCCAGAATGAAGCAGTTCAGGGCAATGAACAAGCTCAAGAAACTCGCATTGAAGGTAGAATTTGATATAGCAATTATTATTTCTACATGCCAAGTGGTTAAATATTGTCTGAAGATTGTCGTCAATTAGAATGTCTCTTTGACCTTCATTAGTGTTTCCTCAGCAGTAAAAGTGAGATGTAGCATTTTCTAGGGTCTTGATCTAGAAAGTATAACTACAATCAAGCTGATGTTTCATCTCTTTAAGAAAGTTGTCGCAGAATTGGTTAAAATTTGCTTTGCTGAATAAGAAACCGTCCAACATCAACTAATTTGTTCTTTCACAAGATATTTTTGGGGGTTGAGTGAGGTCTTTGTTGATGTATTCTTTTCCATCACAGGATGTCTGTATATCAAAGAAATGATTTCATATCAAAGGTGGAGAAATTACAGCTTTTGCAGTTGGCTAACATGTAATTAGTTACCTAGCTAGCCAATGAAAGATGCTGTAGATATTGGCCGTGTCCATTTTCCCTCATTGTTTTCAAATTTCAACCTCCTGATGTTCTGTTATTTGGAATTCCCCAGGTCATTGCAGAAAATTTATCTGAAGAAGAAATTAAGGGTCTGAAAGCTATGTTTGCAAACATGGATACAGACAATAGTGGGACAATCACTTACGAAGAATTAAAATCAGGACTGGCTCGCCTTGGATCAAAGCTTTCAGAGGCTGAAGTTAAGCAACTTATGGAAGCTGTAAGTATGATACATTTGACTAGATTTATCTGTTTATTTTGGCTTCCTGTCAGATTTATTACTCCTATTTATCCTGTTTATGGTTCTATATTTCAGGCTGATGTGGATGGAAATGGAACGATTGACTACATCGAGTTTGTTACTGCAACAATGCATAGACATCGGCTTGAAAGGGATGACCATCTGTTTAAAGCTTTTCAGTTTTTTGACACGGACCATAGCGGGTGAGTCCACGAAAGTGTTTTTCAGTGTTTCTGGTTTCCAGCGAACTGTAGCTTATATTAAATCTTGGTTGTATAGCATTTTCCAGATGCCAATGTGGATCAGTTAAGATAACTTTAGCAGGAGGCAAATGAAAAGCAGATTTCAGCGTTGTTGTTATTGAGTGTTTATATTATGATGAATCGATGGGAGTCATTCCCCTGCATGTGGTTCATGGTTGGAGTTGGGTGCTGTTTCCAGCTAGTCCTTTTACTGTTGGACCTTCAGGACGTGTAACTGAGAGGCGGATGGAGCCTAAGCTGTATGGGTTAATTGAACCCTGTGTTTTTTATGCGAAACATAGACTTATATGAGAAAAAGCAGAAAAGTTTCAACAGATATTAAATGTTGGACCCATAATTCCAAAAGTACAATGAGTTCAATGTTAGAACCTTAAAGATTTGAACCCATCAAGTTTAAACCCTCAATCTGCCTCTAGTGTAACTCTATTAGTACGACCATGGATGGGATTGGGCATGGGTTGGTGGTAGATATTATTTACAGGCAGGGGCATGTTTCCATATGAGTTAGTGCTTTTCTGATATCTTGGTTGTTATTACTGCAATCTTTCCCCTCACCCCAGTATCAGTGAGACCTCATTGTGTCATTCAACATATGGTAGTCCTTAGGGATGGCAAAAAGGTTAAAAGAAAACAGTTAACCACCCAAATTATCCACTAAAAAATGAGTTGGATAATGAACTTTTTAAAAACGGGTCAAATATGGATAAGAACCATATTATCCATTTAGAAAACGGATAACCAATGGGTAATTAATGGATAACCAGTGGGTCTAACTTTTACATTTGTAAAGCCTCAAATTGGGGGTTCCTCAAGTTAGGGAGACTGAGAATTCTCGCAAAAGTGATCATATGCAAGAAGTCATAGATAGTATGGTTATCATATTATCCGCTGGTTAACCCGTTTTTTATCTGTATTAAATATGGATCGGGTCGGATAATTTATTTGTTTTTTCATTACCCGTTTCCGATCCGAACCATATCCGACCCGACCCGACCCACCCGTTTGCCACTCATAGTAGTCCTCATAATGATATATGGTTGGTCTAACATATCTAGCCAACCAAGTTCCACAAGCCAATGGACCCCAATTGAGTAATATGTTCCACATTTCTATGAGTAGTTGATTGCATGCATTGGTTAGCATTCATAGTTCCAGGCTATGGAATCTCAAACCGTTAAATTTGCATATTAATCATCCTCCTGATTCAACATAAGTATTTTTGACATATTGAGCTCTCTTTGGTGCATTTTGGGAGCTTTCTAATGCTTTCTCAACTTTTACGAAAATCTTCTCCCAAAATATTCATGATTTCTTTCCTCGACAAGTGAAGTTTCTATGCTTGTTCAGCGGCCTTTAATCCCCCTCCCCCCAAAAAAAGAATGAAAAATCCTATCTATAAGGCCCTGAGTTAAAGAGGAAACAAGTCTCATTCCATGAATAAAAAGTCAGTAGGGCTCTTCTATAGCTAAATAGGGTGAACGTAGATGGTCTGTTTCATGAATAACAAGTTAATCGCATTTAAGGAAACCTTATTTTACGGATTTGGTAGGATCTGTCTTAGACATTATCTTTTCACATATCATTCCTTTGAGATGTTTACTTCTTCTTTTTTTTTTTTTTTTTTTTTTTTTTTTGTTAATGTGGTTCAGCTTCATAACAAAAGATGAATTGGAAAGTGCTATGAAGGAGTACGGTATGGGTGATGAGGCAACCATAAAGGAAATTATAGCAGAGGTGGACACAGATCATGTAAGTAGTTTCAGATGTAATGTTTAACATTTGTAGCTCTACTATGATACTGGATTTTACCAATACTCTTTCACTTAAACAGGACGGTAGGATCAATTATGAGGAGTTCTGCGCGATGATGAGGAGTGGAACACAACCACAAGAGAAAATTTTTTAGTTCCTTCAAACAGTAACCTTGCAAACAAGAGAAGATTCAGAAAAGGCGGCAGAGGTATTCTTGATGTACTTGTTATACCTGATATCTCCAATATTTTTTGACTTGCTTTGACAACTTTGGAAAGCAGTGGAATGAAGGAAGCATTTTGGTGTACATCCAATTTAAAGCAGAATATCTAATAAAATTCATTTATTTATAATGTATATTCCTTCCATCCCAAAAAGAACGAAAATATTACTATTTGAGAAATCGAGCTGTTTTTCTTTTATTAAGATTTTTTCAAATACTTTTACAAAATTTAACAATAAGAGATCACTGTCTGAATATATAACAATATAGTTAGATGTGTTGATCTTGAACAGTGTATCATCCTTTCGTTTTTTGTCACAGAGGGAATAGTTTCTTTTTCGTGAACAGATCCAGTTGTAATTGGTGCATTCTATTATAATTTGTTATTCGGAAGGAACGTATTAAACCTTCTTACTTGGTTTATAATAAAACAAAGAACCTGATCATCTTTTATGTTTCTGAAGCTATTCAAAGTCCTGGAAATTTAAAAGAACATGTGAAGGGGATGAAAAGTGTATGTCTGTCGAAGAACTTAATTATTGTAAAACTACATGTGTTAGATCTTTTGCGTCAGTGCAAGATTTATAGTGATGGGTTGGTGATCTTTCTGAATATGCATGTAGTGTTCTGGTCTTAGGAGCAATTCAACCTATAACTAGCTTATGAATTTATGTTTGTATGCCATTACTCTTGAACTAAGAACTCGCTCAAGGGAGACATACTTTGTTCCCTTACAATACCATTTCTCCATTCTTTTAATCTAGCGATCCTATCTAATAGGGTCTTTGCTTCTTAACTGTCTGCATTAAGTCTTGATGGCGTCAGATGATTCCGACTTCCCTTTCTCCTCTACTACATTGAAGTCATGTACTTGTAATAGCACTCAAGGGCATAATCTAATGATTGAGGAAATAGGAATGAGAGGTTTGAATTTTGTAGAAGCAAAATAAAAAAGGTGATTTCCTTTCACTTGCTTAGCCTTGTGGATAGCGCTATCCGGGACCTGTAATGGTATTATGACGCATGTACCAGTGAAACAGTTGCTTGCTGACTTGGACACCGCTATCATTAAAAAAGAAAAAGTTCCGCTGCTTGTAGTTGTAGCTCTTCTGCCTCTCCGTCTGAACCTCTTTGCATTATTATCAGTTTTAGCAGCCCTGATGTTCAATGATGACATTGATGTAAATAAAAATCTTTAGTATTGAAAAATTAGTATGTTTTCACAGATTTCACTGTCCTCTCCCTCACATATACAAATGTAAAGGGAGAAGAGGGGGGGAGGGGGGGAGTAGTAATGAGTACAAGTAATATCAAAACCAAGTTCCTATAGTGGAGCTTATTGGCAAGACTGCACTGCTGTCTGATCTTACCCTTTGTACCAGATAGTGATGGCTCTTTGAAAAGTAGTCTTGGTTCTTTGCCGTTTTCTATACATAGGGCCTGGTCCTTTTGTGCACAGCTAATTGTTGGTCCACCAACATCAATCCCTTGTTGTCCAATCATGTTCCTGTAGTAGTTGTTGTCTCGTTTCATGGGTGTGTCTCTGTCGTTTCTCACATACTGCACGGCCTTTGGATCAGGACATTTCTTGAGCATGTGGGGTACATGTTGAGGGTTGAGTTGAGGGTCCACTTCGCGATATAAACGGTGAACCAACTTAATACAATGTGCTGTGAGCACCTGCAAGAGAAATGATAGATAATTAACTTTGATCTTTTCTTCTCCCTTTTTAATAATTGATCCAAGAACTAAAGTCTTGGCGCAACAGTAAGAGCTGCCGACTGCGTGACCAGGAGGAGGTCAAGAATTCAAGCCATGAAAACATCTTGCAGAAATGCAAGATAAGGCTGCACGCAATTTGGTTTGCCTCTTCTGGGGACCTCACGCATGCAGGGGCGGATCCAGCTTATTATATGAGACCCAGTAGCTTTTGCACATACCTTGTATATGTATTAAAAGATTTACTAAATATCCATCAATATTTGATTGTGAACCCAGTTACTTATTGTATATTTACTTAAGATCGCTATAAGAACCTATAAACTTTAAATCCTGGATCCACCTCTGCACACACGGTGGGGGTTCAAGAAATTCAGGTAGAGTGGTATGTGTATGCCTAGCAAGGAAACAACTCTAGGAATGTTAATTCCAATGTTGGAAAATCTCTCAAGTACAAAGCTCATGCTTTCATTGTGGTCTGGGAGGTGTTGCCCAAGAATATATATCTGCTCTGCTCCTCCTGAATCAATAGATTCAGCTGAACCCTCGATTTCGATACGAACTATGTATACATGCTGCAAATAGGAAAACAATTAAAATGCATACATATAATATATGATCACGCTTAAGGTCCTGAATTCCCCCCCTCCGATAACAGTAGGTAACACTATGCATTCTATGCTAAAAAGCCACTTTTAGAGTGCAAAAAGAGAGATAAAGAAATATCTGGACCTGCTATCTTCATATAAATAAAGTAAAATGGGGGTCTTCAGCTTTAAAGTAGGAAAACAAGCCTTGCTCAGAGTTGGAGAACTTCAAGCCTAAACATGAATATGAACACTGACTACTTGTAATGCCTACTTGTTTCCTGAACCCAACTAGTAGTAATAGAAAAAGAAAAACATCCCAGGAACAGGGGAAGAAAATAATACTCCTATAAATGTCGTAGTTTTCTTCCAAATAATCCGGCCAAAGCTAGAGTTCATTTCTTTAGTGGAAGTAAGAAAACAAGTTCTACAAGTGTNCCTGACCCCACCCCACCGGCCACCTCCACTCGACTCCCAACCTCCAACCCCTAATTTCCAACTCCATAGTGTTTGACGTGTTCTTGGGATAATATTTTCTATTTGTTTTTTAAACATCACAGTATATGTAAGAAAATTACTTATATTTTAACATACCCTAGTTCTTAAAAAGTTTAAATACACGATTACAATATACATGTCGGAATGTAAGGTTGAATCAGAAATTTGCATGAAAGAGGCAATTTGCATATCCAAAATATAAGAAGACGAAAAGGAGAAGTAACATTGCAAAGAAATCCATGGAAGTGCGTAAGAAGGATTGTACTAGTGTATTAGTGTGTGGGAGCACTATCTCCCTCATCTATCTACAAGAGTCGTTCCATTTGGTGCTCTCTCGATGGAGACTAAATGCTGAATACAATACGATTTATAGTGCATTTAATTGGTCTTCTATAAGAAGGCTTCAATTACCGATGTGGGATATACCCACAACCCTTGCAATATAGAGTACTATTCTCTCAAGCTGTACTTGCAGAGCTAAATCTTTTGTAGCACCACGTTAACAGTGTTAGAAATTGCTTATACTGTATCGGGTTGCATCAGTGCACTATCAAAAGTAACAAGAGCATCATTAATAGGTACAATTGATTGACAACCGTTGCTCTAGTGGTGAGCTCCCGCACTTCCAATCAAGAAGCTTGTGAGTTGAGCCACCCAAGAGTAAGGTGGAGATTTCTTCCCAAGAGTAAGGTGGAGATTTCTTGGAGGGAGAGATGCCGAGGGTTTATTTGAAACAGTCACTCTACCCCAGGGTAGGGATAAGTCTGCGTACATACTATCCTCCCCAAATCCTACTAGTAGAATTATATGGTTAGGGATAAGGTCTACGTACATACTACCCTCCCCAAACATTACTAGTAGGGTTATACTGGGTTGTTATTGTCAATTGCAGGTGAAAATTGTTAGGCATGTCCATATCTCTATTGGAGACAATACATATATGTCATTAGGAAAAATTCCTTCAATTTTCGTTATAGCCAAGCGCTAGTTGTAGATTAAAAAAATGTTTTAATTAATGGCACTATTAAGAAGATAAGTTATCTTAAAAATTGATTGTAAAAACTTGGGCTCACCCTGGGGGATGGGCATATCTAGTTAACGCGCCCATTTTGGTTTCCCCCCCCCCCA